CCAGAACATACCAGGATGTATGACCCTTAATGGTCATCACCCAAGGAACTATCAGGGATCTAAGGGTCATGACCCCAGAACTTAACAAGATGTATGACCCTTAATGGTCATCACCCGAGAAACTATCATGGATCTAAGGGTCATGACCCCAGAACATACCAAGATGTATGACCCTTAATGGTCATCACCCGAGGAACTATCAGGGATCTAAGGGTCATGACCTCTGAACGTACCAAGATGTATGACCCTTAATGGTCATCACCCAAGGAACTATCAGGGATCTAAGGGTCATGACCCAGAACTTACCAGGATGTATGATCCTTAATGGTCATCACCCAAGGAACTATCAGGGATCTAAGGGTCATGACCCCAGAACATACCAGGATGTATGACCCTTAATGTTCATCACCCAAGGAACTATCAGGGATCTATAGGTCATGACCCCAGAACCTTTAGGGGTCATAACTATATGGATCATTTTCAGGGCTCATACCACTAATTGAAACTCCATAGACAACAATGTTAACTTATGATGAGATTCCTAAACAAAGTTGAAAACATGGCTCTAAAATGGGAATCAACATGCTTGTAATCAACCACATAAATAAAACACACATGTTGGCCAGCTCAAACTCTTCCAAAACTCAGGTAAACAAGACACACCTACTGTATTTTGGACTGCACCTAGAGAAATCACTGGAAAAACACCAAGATTAGAACATCCAAATACACACAGAATAAACCCACAGGTACACAGCCGCTAAGTAGTAAACGAAAGATCACATGTTAGTCTCACCTCAGACCCAGGTGATCGCGCCCTCAAACAGGGAACATCTGAGAAAAAAAATATTAAATATTAACAAAATTTCATTGGTTCTTGCTAGGCATTGGTTGATTAGTGGCATGAGACCTTTAACAGTAGACATTTTGTTTGTAATTTTCTAGGAGAATCACTGTCTACGGATAAAAATCTTAGGTGACTGTTATTATTGTGTGTCTGGCTTACCAGAACCAAGACCAGATCACGCACACTGCTGTGTAGAAATGGGACTGGATATGATAGATGCCATAGCGTAAGTACCATATTTTCACTTATAAAGTATTTCTGTTTGTTTCTCTGATTCCAAGTGCTCAAACTATTTTGAATGATATTTTTATGAACCGCATATCAGATAAATTTCTTGATTTACTGACTATGTAGTATAAAGAAATATCACAAACTCTTGTGATTTAAGCTTGAGTTGGCAGAAGTCAAACTTTTTATTTCATACTATATGAAGTTGGATGTAAAATTTTAAAGTGAAAAGATGGAATTATAGTGATTTTTTTCCCAATATACAAGATTAAAGCATACTTTTCTCAGAGGGAATTGACTATTGAATTGAATTGGTAGCCCTTTAATGTAGACAGCTTGCACGACTAAATCATATTAAATCATTCTAGAATCGTATAAAATCATTCTCGTTTCTGAGCAATTTAGTCAAGTGATTTATTATTGAGCTTTTCAAAATCCACCACCCCAGGATGCAGTTACCCAGGGTTCATTGCAAGGGGATAGGAATTAGTACGAGAGTAGTTACCTCTAGGGAGTTGAATATACATAGCGTTTCTGAGGAATGGTTCATCCATGGGGAGTTATTTAATTACATTTGAAATATAGTGTTCTATTTAAAAGTGATGAGTAAGGAAATAGAGTTTGCTGTCGTGAAACCAACAAGTAATTACATGTCCATGTCTGGTCGCCGCTGAATAGATTTCTCAATAATAGGAAGATAACTTTTGATTTACTTGAGCCATGGATCACAGGTGAAATTAATTGCAGTATTATTTATGGCTCTGGTTTTTGATTATTTTGTTGATTGTCTATATAGACAATCATTTTACGGCTTGTTCATCTATCTTTTCTTTGCATTTTGCACAAATACATTGAAACTTGGTTTGTGCATACTGTTTGCGTAGTATGACAAACAATGATAGGAATATGCACATGTTAATTAGCTAATTTGCATAATAATTAGCATGTTTTATTAATATTAAAAATAGTTTTCTTCAATAGATTAAAACCTAGTGCATGCATACTGTTACATGCCCGGTGGCAATTGGTTGGAAAATGCACATTTTAATTAGCTAATTTTCATAATAATTAGCATGTTTTATTAATATTAAAAATAGTTTTCTTCAATAGATTAAAACCTAGTGCGTGCATACTGTTACATGCCCGGTGGCAATTGGTTGGAAAATGCACATTTTAATTAGCTAATTTGCATACTGATCAACTACATTCAGCATGTTTTATTAATATTAAAAATAGTTTCCTTGAATAAATTAAAACCTAGTGCATGCATACTGTCTGTACTGTTACATGCCTGGCAATTGGTTGGAAAAATCTGTGCATTTTAATTAGCTAATTTACATATCAATTTTATTTTTTCCTTGTGTACCTTTCATGCAATAGAACTTTGTATTTTCTTGCTGTCTGTGTAACATCTGTAACATCAGTGTGTGCATATTAATTAGCTAATTTAAACTTTTCAGCTTGTTTATTTAATATTATAATAGTTATTTTATACATGTAATTGATATCTTACACTAGTTTAGAATCAATTTGTGAATATTAATTAACTATTTTGTATAACAAGAACAGTTTGGTAAAATGGATTGAAGCATGGTTTATCATTGGTTTCACACAGGAACACTTTCTTAAGCATCTCTAATAAATAAATTGGATAGGATCTATGTTTTCCATACATGGGGTTCAAATTAGGAAATTGGTAGTAACTGCTAGTACCAAAAAATAATATATACAAAGTGGTTGTTGGTATTAATGATATGTACTGTAGACCTCTTTAACTCGCAAGTCTGTGAAAATCATGACATTTTGTAGCTGTGAAAGTTTCTCTAGTATCAGCGATTTACACAAAATTGTTGTTTTCACGATTGCCACAAAATGATCTAGTCATGAAAATTCGAAAATTTAGTGATTTACGGTATTATAAGACTCATGGGTGATAGGCATTACCAAAATGCTTCTCTATCCAATGAAAATGTCTTCTTTGCATTTGAATACATTTGGATACATTTCCATAAAAAAAAACGTTTATGTCAAAGTAAATATGGTAGAAGATACTGGATGTTTTGGATTGATTGATTGATTGTCAACAGCCATTATTAATTATTTTCAACCCAAATCTAAGTAGCAATTTGCACACGAATCTTTCAAATAATTGGATATGAATTAATTTTACTTGTCGGGCTAACTCATTAATAAAGTAATCATCTCTGTAATTCAGTCAGTTATTTTTTAGGTTTGTGTGTCATCTTTATCATTGTTCATCCTTCATGTCGCCATGCCGACTTTATCGCTGTTTGTTATCCCTGTCATGTTTCTACCTGCAGGAGTGGTTCTTCATCTGATTAATATAAAAATATGAATGTGCATTAAAATATGAATCTATTTTAGTTCAGTGAGCATCTGTCTGTCTGACTTTAGTAAAAATAGTATCTTCTTAAAAACCATCGTCATGATTGCTTCGGTCTGATGCATGCTAGTACTTAGTTTTAATGGTTGTCTTTCAGATTTTCTTTTCATTTATTTTAAGAAATATTTTTGACATTTTGGGGATGAAGAGTGGTTGTTTCACTTTTTCATATAAATCACCGGTCTGATTGCTTTTAAATTCAAAATGCAGATGCCTGGACTGGTTTTCCCCCAGGTTTTTTGGTTTGCGTATTTAGGGGTTTAATATTTGATAAAAACTAATATATCTAAACCGTGAGCCATAATGATTTCCATTGCTTGTATGTGTGTACCTCGGAGTGGGTTTCTCCCTGAATAGTTCATTTAATTGACATACCTTCTTATAGGTTATTAATTTTGCCCAAAACTGATATCATTTTAAAATTAGTCAATATTTTAGGTAATAAGTGATGTGTGGCAGGCCATTATACTTTTGTTAACACATTGCAACAGATAATGTGTAATAATTTCAGTAAGTTTATTTTGTTTGATCAGTCTCATTTTTCATTTTTTTATCATATTTCTAATTTCATCATGATTATTATATGAAATAATGTTTTTTTTTTTAATTTGCTGTCATTTCAGTGTTGTGAGGGAAGTAACTGGAGTAAATGTCAATATGCGAGTAGGTATTCACAGCGGTCGTGTCCATTGCGGTGTTCTGGGACTACGTAAATGGCAGTTTGATGTGTGGTCTAATGATGTTAGTTTGGCAAACAACATGGAAGCTGGTGGTAGGCCGGGGTAAGTTCCTAAAAACAAAAGTTTAGCTGTTTGGTGAGTGGTCTAATGACATTAGTTTGGCAAACAACATGGAAGCTGGTGGTAGGCCGGGGTAAGTTCCTAAAAACAAAAGTTTAGCTGTTTGGTGAGTGGTCTAATGACGTTAGTTTGGTAAACAACATGGATGCTGGTGGTAGGCTGGGGTAAGTTTCTAAAAACAAAAGTTTGGCTGTTTGGTGAGTGGTCTAATGACATTAGTATGGTAAACAACATGGATGCTGATGGTAGGCCGGGGTAAGTTTCTAAAACAAAAGTTAGACTGTTTAGTGTGTGGTCTAATGATGTTAGTTTGGCAAACAACATGGAAGCTGGTGGTAGGCCGGGGTAAGTTCCTAAAAACAAAAGTTTGGCTGTTTGGTGAGTGGTCTAATGACATTAGTTTGGTAAACAACATGGATGCTGATGGTAGGCCGGGGTAAGTTTCTAAAACAAAAGTTTGGCTGTTTGGTGAGTTGTCTAATGACGCTAGTTTGGTAAACAACATGGATGCTGGTGGTAGGCAGGGTAAGTTTCTAAAAACAAAAGTTTTGCTATTTGGTGAGTGGTCTAATGGCGTTAGTTTGACAAACATCATGGATGCTGGTGGTAGGCCGGGGTAAGTTTCTAAAACAAAAGTTTGTCTGTTTGTTTATTTTATAGCTCAAATTCTGATCATTGAGAGGGGGATACTGTGTTGAGATATACTTACTTCATTAAAATTGACTTCAACAAATATGTATAGCACATTATTAAGATGTTCGATTTCACAGAAACCATGGAATTTCACAGTGAATTAGAAATTGTCTATTAATGAACACAATTCAACTTTTGTTGTAGGTAATTTTGCTTAAAAAAAAATATTTTTTTTAACAATTTTGCACCAATATTTCAGTAGGAACAAATATAACATAATAACGTTTGAAGAGTATCGAATTGAAAAACAATTTTTTCTTCTGCTTTCAGACGTGTTCATATCACGGAAGACTCATTGGAATGCTTGAACGGTGACTACGAAGTGGAACCAGGACATGGAATTGAAAGAAATAGTTATCTAAGAGATAATAACATTGATACGTTCCTCATTGTGGCCCAACATCCAAGAAAAAAGGTAAAGCTACCACTCAATTAGCAGCTGTGGGAAAAACTTGTAAATCTCAATCGTGCTCAGGAAAATTTGATATGTGATTCCTGATATTGAAGCATGGCAGTATAGTAGACATACATTGACAGTGATGGTTGTTGTGTTAACGTACATATTCAACAGGTTGACTAGTTTGAAATGTAGGGCACTCGGCATATCATCAATTAATGTTCTTTTTGGAGATGCTGAATTGTTCGAGTTACGGCTATTGAGTTACAGATATCGGAATGTCAAACGTCAACATAGATTTTTTGTTTTGTTTAATGTTATATATTTCCAGTAATTCAAAGAATTCAAACTGATAATTAAATATTTGAGTTACTAAAT